TTTAAAACTTAGGTTGATAGTTCAGTCTGGCATGAGTGTTTGGGAGTTGTTGATAATATGATTAATGCAGATGCTGAACATGTACATTATATGTGCTGTTCTACTTTGGAGCTGTGCTACTCAATTTATTGTGTAAATGCTGCATCTAAGGCTTATTATGCAGAGCACATCTAGTACTAATAAGGATTTGTGTGCAAATCTTCGTCCTCAAACTTTGAGAGCATTAATTAATACATTCAGCCCCCTGTTGAGAGAGGTGAGTTCTGGCTCCCTATTTTTGGAGACTCAGGATTATGCGCACTTCACCTCAGGGCGCTAAGTGAAGCAGTGATGAAACTTGGATATTAAATGTGTAAAATTATTATTTTCAATTTTTGTAAGAGCCTTTAAGTATGTCCTCCTGCACTCTCTTCAACTTTCACCCTCCTCTTTCTCCTACTTTTTCTCACCAGTCTCAGAGATCAGCAGTTTGAAAACAAAGTATGTTAAGAAATTAACAGAAGAGAAAGAAGTGAAACTGAAACAAAAAATTTTTTCTTTGTAAATAATTCACAGTAACTTGTAAGACATCTACTTTTTCTCCCCATGATTTATTACTATTTTACTAAAGTGATTAATAATAGCTACCATGTGTTCAGGGTCTTATTACTAGGCATTTTGCCATATACCAGGAATGAAGATTTTTTAATGGAAGAGACAAGGTCTTTGCCTTCAAGGAATTTATGGTATATTGGGAAGCCAACCTTGGAAATAGGTAACTTTGATGTAATGTGGCAAATATGATGGTTGCACTCACAGGGTGTAAAGTCAGCATAGTGAAAAAGCATTTGACCTCATCTAAATCAGTCATAGAAGAGTTCCTAGAGGAGATGACATCCGGGCAGTCTTATGAGATGAATGGGCTTGCCAGGGTGAAGTGGGGAGAGGCATTCCAGGCCAAGAGACAGCGTGGGCACCAGCAAGGAGGTCTGGACCAGCGTGGTGTGCAGGGGGTCGGGGGTAGTTGGGGAGAGAGGCAGGTTGAGGAAGCAGCAAATTGTTGATCTTTGTTGCAGCATAAAGATAAAGGCGAAGAGTGATAGCAGTTACATTTAGAGCATGGATAGAAGCCAGCCCCATAGCAAAGGGGAAGTCACAATTTCCCCCCAAGGGTACTGTATTATCTATATTGTACACATTTTATGGAACAAAACTGCATTCCTAAATATATTTTTCATAAAATTTATTTCTCTCATCTGAGCCTCTAATGGCACCAGCAGCTACAGTTTTTCTGGATTCTAAATGAGATAAGGATTTTCCTGCCTATTCACTCATTCCATGAATATTGATGTCAAACACTGCACTGGGTGATAGGAAGTGAAAGCCGATGAAATCACACCACCCTCAAGGAGCCCATGATCCAGTGGGAGGAGAAATAAGAACACCAGCGATTCTCAGACTCCGGGCTACACACTGCTAGACGTATGCTCAAGGTGCTACCGGAGCACAGAAGGGAAGCGTGTTAATTGGTTCAGGCTGCCACAACAAAGTCCCAGAGCCTGGGTGGTTTAAACGACAAACATCGATTTTTATTTTCACAGTTCTGGAGGCTAAGATGAAGGTGTCTGCAGGGTTGGTTTCTCCCGAGGCCTCTCTCCTCAGCTTGTAGATGGCCTTTCCTCGGTGAGTGCACACCCCTCTGTGAGTGTCCCTTTGTGGGATAGGTGTCCCTTTGTGTGACCAAATGTCTTCTTATGAGGACACCATTCAGTTAGGATTAGGGCTCACCCTAACAGCCTTATTTTAATTTAGTCATCTCTTGGAAGTCCCTGTCTCCAAATACAGTCACATTCTGACTGTGGGGTTTGGGGCTTCAGCATATGAATGTTGGAGGGAACATAATTCAGCAACCCCCAAAATGGGTATTTAACAACTTGGGGCTGAGTGGGGTCAGGAAAGACCTCCAAGGAGAGAGGTTTGAACTTGCTCCTGGAAGCAAGTGGGGGAAACCGCTAAGGGGTTTTATGTTAGTGAGAAGCGCGATGGGATCTGTGTTTCGGGGAAATCCCCTCCTCACAGGGACAGCAGTGAGAAAGCTGCTACTGTGCAGAAAAGAAAGGATGGGGGGTCTGGGGGGGTCTGAATGAAGACGGTGACGGGAAAGCTTTCAAAGATGTTTAGGAAGAGAATAGGCCAGACTCTATATCCTAGGGGGGGTGTGTGTGTGTAAGAGGGGGTGAGAAAGGGGAGGAGTAAGACAAAATAATGCTTTTCTCGACCTTCTTGTCAGTAGGTTCCGAATAACTAGAACAAGAAGATGCCCTGATAGCTCTGCTATTTGTTCGAGTCGGAATTAGTTGCATTGATGAACAACACAGCACAAACAAAAGAATAAGCACTGTTAGTGTAATGGGCTGAATTTTGTTCCCCCAAAATGTATATGCTGAAGTCCTAAGCCCCTACCTTAGAATATGATTGCCTTTGGAGATTGGGCCTTTAAAGAGGTAATTAAAGTGAGACTGTCGAGGTGGGTCCTACTCCAATATGACAGGTGTCCCTATCAGAAAAGGAAACTTGGACACATAAAGAGATACCAGGGATGTGGCTTACAGAGGAGAAGCCGTGTGAGGACACGGAGAGAATGTATCCATCTACAGGCCAAGGAGAGAGGCCTCAGGAGAAGCCAGCCCTGCAGATACCATCTTAGACTTTCAGCCTCCAAAACCAGAAAAAATCAATGTCTGTCATTTGAGCCACCCAGGCTGTACTACTTTGTTATGGCAGTCCAAACAGACTAATACAATCAATAAACAGATTTTCCAGATAACTGACATCTATTCATTTAAGTGTAACTACTTTGAAAATATTTACTTATTTTATAAAGGCACATTTCTAAGCTGTATCTATAAATGGCAACACAGTCTCCCCTCAGCATCCACAGGGGATTGGTTCCAGGACCCTTGGGGACACCGAGATCTGTGGATGCTTAAACTCCTTATAGGAAATGACATAGTTTGTCTTCTTCTTTAGACTTTAAATCATCTCTAGGCCAGGCAGTGGCTCACGCCTGTAATCCCAGCACTTTGGGATGACAAGGCGGATGGATCACATGAGGTCAGGAGTTCACGATCAGCCCGCCCAACGTGGTGAAACCCGTCTCTACTAAAAATACAAATAATAATAATAATAATTAGCCAGGCGTGCTGGCTCACACCTATAGTCTCAGCTACTTGGGAGGCTGAGGCACGAGAATTGCTTGAACCTGGAAGGTGGAGGTTGCAGTGAGCCGAGATTGCGTCACTGCACTCCAGCCTGGGTGACAGTGCAAGACTCTGTCTTAAAAAACACATAAATACTGGCCGGGCGCGGTGGCTCAAGCCTGTAATCCCAGCACTTTGGGAGGCCGAGACGGGCGGATCACGAGGTCAGGAGATCGAGACCATCCTGGCTAACACGGTGAAACCCCGTCTCTACTAAAAAATACAAAAAACTAGCCGGGCGCGGTGGCGGGCGCCTGTAGTCCCAGCTACTCGGGAGGCTGAGACAGGAGAATGGCGTGAACCCGGGAGGCGGAGCTTGCAGTGAGCTGAGATCCGGCCACTGCACTCCAGCCTGGGCGACAGAGCGAGACTCCGTCTCAAAAAAAAAAAAAAAAAAAAAAACACATAAATAAATCATCTCTAGATTACTTATAATCCCTAATACAATGTAAATGATATGCTAATCGTTGTTATACTGTATTTATGGAATAATGACAAAAAAAGTCTACATGTTCAGTACAGACACAATGTTTTTTTTTTTTCTGAATATTTTTGATCTGTAGTTGGTTTAATTCTGAAATAGGGAACCAGTGGATACCGAGGGCCAACTGTATAATGAGCATGCTTGAACTCCTTGTTGATAGTGTCAGCTGTCTTGGCCTGTATTTGTTTGTTTATTTATTAGAGACAGTCTCTTGTTCTGTCGCCCAGGCTGGAGTGCAGTGGTACCATCACACCTCACTGTGGCCTCCAGCTCTTGGGCTCAAGCGATCCCCACATTTCAGCTTCCTGATTAGCTGCGACCACAGTCACACACCACGATGCCTGGCTAAGTTTTAACATTTTTTGTAGAGATGGGGTCTCACTGTGTTGTCCAGGCTGCTGTCACACTCCTGGGCTCAAGTGATCCTCCTGCCTTTCCCTCTGAAAGTGCTGGGATTACCAACCGCACCTGTAATCCCTTGGGCTTTTTTTTTTTTTGAGATGGAGTCTCGCTCTGTCGCCCAGGCTGGAGTGCAATGGCGTGATCTTGGCTCACTACAAGCTCTGCCTCCCAGGTTCACACCATTCTTCTGCCTCAGCCTCCTGAGTAGCTGGGACTACAGGTGCCTGCCACCATTTTTTGTATTTTTAATAGACACAGGAGTTCACCATGTTAGTCAGGATGGTCTCGATCTCCTGACCTCGTGATCCACCCACCTTGGCCTCCCAAAGTGCTGGGACTACAGGCGTGAGCCACTGTGCCCGGCCCCCTTGGGCATTTTATATCAGGCTGTGTGAAGCACCGCCATGCCCTCAGCAGAGTCAGAACATTTTCCTGCTTCTCCCTGAGCAGTCCCTGGATGCTGTGCTTGTTGAGGACTTTTGTTAGTCTTCAGGGTTTATTTCGGTTTTGTCTCAGGCTCTTCCCACTCTGTCAGGCTGCCATTTCCTTCTTCTTTTTGTGTGCCTGCCTCTAGAAGCCTCCTGCCTTCTTCCTAATGTGGCTTTTAACTCGCTGTGAGTTGGATACCAGATAACCTTTTTTTTTTGAGATGGAGTCTCACTGTGTCGCCCAGGCTGGAGTGCAGTGGTGCCATGTCCGCTGACTGCAACCTCTGCCTTCCGAGTTCAAGCCCGAGTTCAGGTTCAATTTTTTCTACTGCCTCAGACTCCCGAGTAGCTGGGATTACAGGTGCCTGCCACCATACCTGGCTAATTTTTGTATTTTTAGTAGAGATGGGGTTTTGCCACATTGACCAGGCTGGTCTCAAACCCCTGATCTCATGTGATCCTCCCACCTCCGCCTCCCAAAGTGCTGGGATTGCAGGCGGGAGCCACCACTCCCAGCCCGGGCAACCAAATTTAGTGGAATTCTGTGTAAAGGAAAAGTAAATAGGCCCTGAAGAGCAATGTACATGGATTTCTGTGCACAGATTTGGTGACATTTTTTAACTCCTCAGAGAACATTTTAACTGCCTTTCTAGATTTTGAGATTGCCATCTAAATGGCTTTCAGATAAACGAGATGTTGCTTTTTTGGCCCAAATGATGCGGGGTCCTCCGTAGGTGTGAAACAGTTTCCCAGGGGTCCAGATTGTGCATTCATTTATATTTCTCACCTGTGCTCCATCTGCCTCCGCAGAGAGGCTGTGGTTCGGCATGTGCTGGCTACTCCGTGGAGCCACTGTCAGGAACACTCCCTTTCTGCCTCCCGGCCTGACATTCTGCTGCATTTGTCACTCTCCTGGAAGACAGATGCAATTCATCTTCCTACATCGCTCTAAAGATCCAGAAAGATATGCTAATTTGTTAGAATTCATTCAGAACCATCACACAAATCAGAACCCATAGAATGGTGAGGCAATTTTTTCAACGTCAAAACAAAATCTCAAGGACCAAAATTGAAGTTGAACAAATCGACCCAGGAGACAGTCACCTCTGGCACTGGTTCTAATTGGGCTCTGGCTCCCAGGGGTGGGGGGCATGCTGGCACCTAAGGGGAAGATGCTTTATCCCCCATGCTTTAATTTCAATCAAGTGATTAACCTCCTGTTTAGCCCTGAGCAGAGCTGCATTCAGGCCGTGTGTACTCATTACCCCGGGCCTGTGCACTGATCAAGCTCGTTTTATGGACTCCTAAGCAGCAGTCTCTGTGGACCAAGGAAGGATAAAGTAGACAGGCCACACTTTCAGCCGTCCACACTGCTACTTCCGGAACCACAAACCCTTCTCTCCTCCGTGGCTTTCTTGTGGTACTTTGATTCTGATACGTGCCTTACTCTGTCAGCAGACATGAAGAAAAGAGATGTTTAGAGAAAAGATATTTTATGGACACATTATGGCCTAGATAAGCCAATTAACCATTTGAGGCAGTTTTTTTACCCAAAGACACAGAAACCAACAACAAAGTGTTAACAAATCCACCGAAAAGGAATGTTTTTGAAAAGAAAGAATGAGACTATTCCAGTGAGCAGTTTGCAAACCAGGGATAGGAAGCCTTCAGTACAGAACAAAGGTGCTATCCATGAGAACAAAGAGAAGGATTACCCTTTATAGAGAAACGTCCCACCCATGTTCTCTCTCGGGCCCACTCCACAAATGAGGGATGCAGGTTTGTTTAGTTCTGATCGGTCATGCTGGTCATGGTCTATTGGTTAGCTCCAGGTGACCAAATGGGGCCTTCCAGCAACCATTGATTCAGGTGGCATAAATAGGAACAAACAACTATGAAACTCCTAAAGTTACTTGATTGGGTGTTTTTTTTCCAGGAATGCAGTTTCCAGGAACCTGTGTAACCTCTACTCAGCAAATGGACTCTTGGATCCATTTTGAATACAGGCCCAGTTACTCACTCAGGATCCACCTGAAAGATTGGCTTCCAGGGTTCACAAGAGGAAGTCAATAATCCCTCTCATCCTTCTTGGTCACAGACTCTAGCAGCTCTACTGAGGCCCCAACCTCCCCTCCCCTGCTGAAACACTGACCCATAGGACTATCCCTGGGATTAATGGCAGGAGACTTGGCCATCTTGAGACAATCTACAAGCTTTTATAGGATTCTGAGGTCCTCAGAAATAATGTGAGGTGGTTTGACTCTTGAAGAGTCTGGTTTTCACCCATATTTTCTTTTCTTTTCTTTTTTTTTTTTTTTTTCTGAGACAGAGTCTAGCTTGTCTAGCTTTGTCACACAGGCTGGAGTGCAGTGGCGCTATCTCAGCTCACTGCAACCTCCGCCTCCCGAGTTCAAGTGATGCTCCTGCCTCAGCCTCCCAAGTAGCTGGGATTACGGGCGCCCACCACCACGCCTGGCTAATTTTTGTATTTTTAGTAGAGATGGGGTTTCACCATGTTCATCAGGATAGTCTTGAACTCCTGACCTCAAGTGATCCACCTGCCTCAGCCTCCCAAAGTGCTGGGATTACAGGTGTGAGCCACCATACCCGGCCTGTATTTATTTCATAAAAGTTAAACACCTACTATATATCATGCACTGAGCTAAGTACTATGAGTGGGGTTGCTAAGCTGAGTCAGACTGGGACCTTGCCTCCAAAGAGCTTGCTGTTTAGAATTTAGTGGGGGACATGAGTAATGTACATACACACCTGCACCCCCAGATCGAAAATGATGAATGTTGTGGTGGATTTGCGATGGCCAACCATTCTTTGCCTGGGGAGGTAGAGTGGAGTTCTCCTGTCCTTGAATCTGACTGGGTCCTGTGACTTGTCTGAACCAACAGAGTGAGTGGCAGTGAAGCTGTGTGACAGCCCTCAAGAGATTTACACCTTCTGCTTTTGCAACTTGGCATGCACCCTCTTAAAGTCTCGAAAGCAGTTTAACTTCTGTGAGACTGCCATGCTGTGAGGAAGCCCAAGTTAGCCACATGGAGAAAGAGGCTGCATGGAGGATCGCTGAGTTGCCAGAGCTGCGGGAAGCCCTTGTGGCCTTCTGACCCTGCCCAGCTCCCAGCAGGCCCTGTCCACATGGCTGTACCCATGGTGCAGTTGACCCACCACCACATGAGCCCACAGAATCACGAGCAAACAGAGCGTTCCTAGTAAGCTGCTGTGGTTTGGGGTGAGTTGTTATGCAATTCTTGATAGCCACCATAGTGTCCTCGGGGAGACACAGAGCTCAGAGATGAGCGTCCAAAGTAGTGTTCTTGGAAACATTTTATTCACTGAAGAGAGACAGAAACCCTCAGTTTGCCCACTTTGAAGGTGCCAGAGCCTAAGCAGAACTGAGCAAAATAAGGCCTATGCCTCAAGCTGGCAATACTCCATAGTGTTTATCACTCGGCTATGCCTCAAGCTGGCAATACTCCATAGTGTTTATCACTCGGACACCTGGAGCAACTTTTCTACTTAAAAATAAATCCTGGGAAAACAAATTAAAAAAAAATCTTTGCCACATTCATAGGAAGTACACAGTGAAGTATTTATAGGTTAAGGGGCAAAATATATGCAACTGCCTCTGACTCTCAAATACTTAAAAAATAGTCTCTCTCATGGTGTAAACCCGGGAGGCGGAGCTTGCAGTGAGCTGAGATCTGGCCACTGCACCCCAGGCTGGGCGACAGAGCGAGACTCCGTCTCAAAAAAAAAAAGTCTCTAATGTAATATGATGTAATCATATGTAATATATAATATAGTCATAGTGAGTGCACAAATAAAGCAAATGGTGCAAAGTATTAACAATAGGTGAAACTGGGAGATGTGGGGGTTTGATGTACTATACTTATCCCTGCAATGTTCTGTAAGTTTGAAATTACCTATTTCCAAATTGAAAGTTATTAAAAGTTAAATCCTAATATATAAAAATTTATCCTTGTAGCTAAATAGTTATCTTCACCTAGTGTTGACCTGTGGATGACAGTGGCCCAGAGAAGCCATTCAACCTTTCTGAGCTACTGGGTTTCTGCTGACAGAAAGGAAGCCACCGTGTTTCCCGGCACCCTCTCGAGCACACAATGGACAAGCTAACCCCAACTGTTAGGAACTCAGGTTGGGAAACAGTGCTCAGGCGAGCTTTGTGTGTCATGCATGTTTATCTTGGCTTCCCAGTTAGATGTGGAGCCCCAACACGCAGGAACCAGACCGCTGGTAAAGTGGCAGTCATTCACTTAAGCATTCATTCATTCCTGTGCTCATTTAATTTCACCCAACATGTATTGGATTACTTCTCTAATCGTCTGTCTGGCTTGTCTCTCTCATACTAACTAGAATCATGTCAGACATTAAATACATATTCATGTTGCTAAGTTTCGTGGCCAATGCCCGAACCCCAACTTTGGCCTGCAGAGCAGCCACTGGGAAGAAGGAAGAAGAGTATTCCAAATGGACGTCAGACTCTGCCTGTCCCCACAAATGGAAAAGCAAACGCCATCTCTCGCTCTTCAGATGGAAGAACACTGGCTTCATTTTGTCTGGTAGAGCCACTGAACGCTGCTGGTGTTTTGTTTTGTTTTGTTGAGCCAGAGTCTCGCTCTGTCACCCAGGCTGGAATGCAGTGACGCAATCTCGGCTCACTGTAACCTCGCCTCCTGCGTTCAAGTGATTCTCCTGCCTCAACCTCCTGAGTAGCTAGGATTAAAGGCACACACCACTACGCCTGGCTTATTTTTGAATCTTTAGTAGAGACAGGGTTTTGCCACGTTGGCCAGATTGGTCTGGAACTCCTGACCTCTAGTGATCTGCCTGCCTCCACCTCCCAAAGTGCTGGGATTACAGGTGTGAGGCACCTAGTAAGTGCACCTGGCTGAACACTGCTGGCTTAAGGGAATATTCTACGTACTCTTAACCCCACCCTCATCCTCATGGCCCGTGATGGTTCTACATCTTTTTAACCAGGCATAGCTGTAAAGTTTGGGAACCACCATTTGACCTGTGCTACATCTGAATTTGTGATGTAGCCAGCAGTTTTCCTGTTGAATATTTTTATTTTTAATGTCTCCCATTTCATATAATTTTCATGGGAAGTGGGCTTTTGTGAGCTGCTTGGTTCTGATCCATGCTGTCCTCTACAATCTTAATCTGGGATTTTTCAGCCTTGTTTTCTAAGTAGCAGAGACCTGTCTAGTGCAATCAGAGGCAGCCTTAATTGGAATCTCAATCTCCTAACATCTCCCCGCTGGTTAGTGCTACTTTAAGAAAAAGGCTGCTCAAAGCAAGGCTGCAGGCTACCGTGTGTGTGTTTGAAGGAAAGTGAAAAAGAAAAAAATGACATTCACGTGATGGAAAGAGGCTTAGAGTTGGGATTTCTTTTACTTTCAAGTGTTCCAAGTGTTGAAGCACCTTTGGTCCAGGCAGGAGAGATTTCGACAGCTCTGTAACCTCACCTCCTGCTGCTCGCATGCCCAGACGCTTCCTCCTCCCTTCTCCTCTCCTCCAGTAGCTTTGGGCTGCTGCTCCTGGGGAGAAAGGAGAGGCCAAGAAGTGAAGAAGAAAAGGAAGTTGAGGGTAGGGTGAATGTAAAGAAGAAAAAAGCTCATTGGTGCTCCCCTCCCCCATTCTGGCTTGTAGTGGGAAAAACAGCTACTGTTCCTTTAATTTAACTCTAACCTCTCTGGCAAAGGTGGGAAAACATTTTACACAGCAAAGCTGCTCTTGGTATTTGCCATTCAAAGCAGAGATGGGGGCATTATGTGGGGAAAGCATTCTTTTTGCTTTTTCCCTTCCAATCCTGGAGAAGAGAATTCATGTGAGTTAACAAGGAAATAAAAAACAAAATCGAAGAAAAAAACCCCTTCAATATACTCTGTTACTAGAGGCATGCCCTAAGAAATTCTCTAAAAACAAAGCTGATTGGAGGGGGTGATACAATGAATCAGAATTACTGCCCAAAAGAAAAATGGACAAAGAGAATATTGCAAAGATTACCTGCCTGAAAATCCTCTGCTCCTGGAACATGAATCACCCAGGGCACACCATCTGGTGAGCTGCGAAGGCAGCTTTAAGCAAGCGCACCTGCTGTCATTTACATCTTAATTATTATATTTTATGAGACTCTAAATTTTATTGAAATACAAATTTGTTTACCCAAATATCTCTTTGCCATATGGCTCAATAATTGGGCCTGTCTCATAAACTTCATGGGGTCAGGATGAAGCATAATGATGTCCCATAATAACATGTTATTCCAGAATAACGAGGTCGCAGTCATTGAGAAGGTCCAGTTCTGTCTTGGGAAACAGCCTCCAGGACTTAAAACACAATCTGGAAATCTCTCCCCAGAAGAATTGCCTTCCACCGCTGCTCTCAAATCACGTGAATAATTTGTATTGATCTTAAAATGGACAGATATTGTAGCAAAATCGCTCCTCACGGCTGGGCAGGGAGGGGCTCTCTTTTCTGAGGCTTGCTCCTTCTTGACAAAGGAACATTTCATTTTGTCATCATAGGAAAAACAACTTAGCTTTCTTCTGAAATGGCACATTTTCTGGTGAGATAGAAGGATCCTTCTACTCTGCAAGGAGGAGGCTTTTTAATAAGCCCAATGTTGCCTTTCTTCATTTAGAAATTCTCTCCTGGTGGTCTTCAGAATCAGTCTGAAGTCCCAAGGGGTTTGTGAACGCGAACAGCCCCAGGTGTTCTCCCTCAAGTTCTTATTTCATTCGTCCCAACTTGGTGCTGCCTGCAAACAGAGAAGGGAAGAGAATCCCAACAATTTTCACCGGGAAGATAATTGTTCCTCCACTGTGTTAACAGGGAGAGGGGAGCTATCAGATGCAGCTCTTGGGAGCTGAAAACCAAGCTCAGAACAAATAGCAAAGGCTTCCTTGATTTACCCCAGACTGGAGCTGGAACTGCCATTCCCACTGCTGTAAGAGTTACCCCAAACTGGTCCCAGCAGCTGGAAAAGACTGGGTCCTTCAGGAAGCTCAGGGCCCAGAGCCAAAGCAGATGATGGGTTGAAGTGAGCCATCCTCTGCCAAGGATTAAGGAGCTGGAAGGCAAGAAAGTACAGCCAAATTGATCCTAATTCTGGCTGCATAGAGGTGCCTCTGGGATGCAGACCTTTGCAGGGGGTGGCTGTGCCTCAGGAACTGGCCATGGCTGCTCATGTGCTGATCCTGGCAGGAGCTGGGGGCTCGCTCCTACATTCCCAACCAGGCATGAAGTCCAAGGGTCTGCCTCTCCTTCTCTGCCTTTTTTATATTACTTCTAGAGATGATATGGATGATGGTGATGATGGACAAAGATGATGACAAAGGTCATCTTTGGTTTTTCTGTCAACTATTCAGTCACCTCACTGTAAGGTAGGCAGGTTGGGGGACTATGCCTATTTCAGAATTTAAGAAACCAAAGGTCAGAAAGTTTAAATGATTTATTCCAATCTCACAACAATAAAGTCAGGATTCAAATTATTTGGAGTATGTAACTCCACATCCTGTGTTTTCATCCTAAAATCCCCCAAGAAAAACCTAAGGGCTGGCCTTTAAGAAATGTCTAGTCATAATGCTGAGAGTGTGTTTAGCCTGCCGAGGGCAGGATTTTCAAAGCAAGGTCATAAAACTCATAGTCTTCTGTTTATACTTTTTTATTTGACAAGTTCAAGGTTGCCTGGAAACAACTAGCAGAAGAAATGAAAGACCAATATCACATTTTTTTAAATCCAAAAATCTAATTGAATTTATTACTCAGATGGGAATGCTGGTTTTAAAATTCTATTTTTAGATAGCCTTCAGAAAGTTAGCTTCCCTTTACTTTAATAAAACTTATTGGGAATGACTTTGTCAATCCACAAGTCCCCCAGAGGTCTCCTTAATGTTTCTGTTCATCGGATAGTGCCAGGAAGGCAACACAGGACATCATCCTTCCCCCAAGGTGCTTCTTATCTAGTTGGGATTGCTGGCACAATCACCAAACAAGACTTAGTACATGAAAAGAGCCCAGAAAGAAGTGAGGTAGGGGATATGGACAGGGATGTGCAGGGATACGAACATGTATTGACCAGCACTTGATGGCTGGTAGGAAGCTCAGGATGGGTGAGCGACTGGATAGATGGATGGATGGGCCAAGATCACTGCAGACAAAAGAAACGCATGAGCTCATAAGCACCAGTGAGTGGAGTGAGGATGAAAGTGGAGGCTGAGAGCAAAAAGTTTGGGTTGCCCTAGAAGGTTCCTGGAGGAAAGTAGAAGGCATGCTTGGAATGTCATACCAGGACAAATGATGGCATGTCAAACAAAGCAACTGGGGTTTTAACCGAGGCACAGTGCAGAGCCCTAGAAAGTTTTTTGGAAAGCTTTGGAATGCTAAATGATCAAATGGCTTGTGCTGGAGTGGACCATGAGGAGGCCGTTGGGCCAGAATGTCAGAGTAGTCAGAGAGCCGAACTGAGGAAAGAGCAATGAGAACAAAAAGAGACAGGGAGATTGAGTAAGACACAGTGACAACTGCTACTGTGCGTTACTGTCAAAGGCTGCAGCAAGGTCCTACTCAGGAAATCTCTGGGCTTTGCTCGGGTTTGGGAATGCCTGAGACAGTCCTCAGACAGGAAAGGAGGTGAGGAACCAAAAAATAACCAGGGAATAAGAACACAGAGCTTTCTCAGATATGGATTCTGCCATTTTTCACACTCCTTAGTCCCTCCTGCCTCTTTACCTTTAACTTCAGGCACAATGTCCATCCATCCATTTAGCCTGTCAAAGAATAAATATGTATTAAGGGTCCAATACAAGCCAGGAGCCATCCTGGCCTGTCTGAGGCCATTTCACTGATTTATGTTTCCTCTGGAGCTCCTCCTCGGATCCTGCCCTGCCTCTTTCCAAGACTGACACCTTAGGCTCCATTCCTACAACTTTTCTACTTTGTGTTGACCTTGGCTTTCTTGGTATAGTTATTTTTGTGATTCTCATCACCACTGACTTGAAGGAAATTTCCAGGGCTCATTCTCAGGGCCACATGGCTTGAGGATAGACCACAGCAGACTGAGTGTCCCCAGCTTGGTGACCTGTCCCACTTCTGTTCCACCTGGTAGAAGGAATCATCCTTCTAAAGCCACCACCTAGACTGTTTCTCTTTGTAGCTGCCTCCATAGTTCACGTGGCCTCTCACAGTAGCCTAAAGGCTTTAGGCTATTTCAGCAGTTCTGCCTCTCAGGTGTTCTTCTGTACACACACTCATCTTGCTTCGATGGGTGGCCAACTTTCAACATCATCCATAGCTTCCATTTGGGGTTTACCTCCAAGGTACCTGATCTGATGCTAGGTGTTTACTTTATTTGTAGGTATCAACACAATGAAGGAAATGACAGAGCAAGAATTTTAATCCACCCTCCACCCCCTTTTTTTTTGAGACAAAGTCTTGCTCTGTTGCCCAGGCTGGAGTGCAGTGGCGCAATCTTAGCTCACTGCACCCTTGCCTCCCGGGTTCAAGCGATTCTCCTCCCTCAGCCTCCTGAGTAGCTGGGGATACAGGCATGTGCCACCATGCCTTGCTAATTTTTTTTTAATTTTTAATAGAGGCTGGGTTTCAACATGTTGGCCAGGCTGGTCTTGAACTCCTGACCTCAAGCGATCTGTCCACCTCGGCCTCCCAAAGTGCTGGGATTACAGGCGTGAGCCACCACAGCTGGCCTAATCCACCCTCTTAAGGGTGCTCTCTTTTCACTTATCTGTAAGTCATCAGTTACACCAGTTTTCAGCCAAGAATATCCCTGAAACTCTTGAACCAAATGTTCACGCCACTGCTCACATTTCATGTCTCCCTCGACGGCTTCCTATAAGGAACCAATGTCAGTGAATCAGAAAATGACCTGGAATCAGAAATTTTCTGAACTGGAAGGAACCTTAAAGATCATCTCTTTTCACCCATTCTTTTTACAGATGAGGGAACTGAAGCTTCCAAAATTAATTTGCTTTTTTCCAAGGCCACCGGCTAGTGGGTGAAAGCAGCACTAGAGTCTCATACTCCTGCCTCTGCCCCTGGAGCAGAGCAGATGTCCACCTCTCATCAGAGGCTGTCAGGGGCTGGGGCAGGCCCTGAGATCTGCCCATCCTTCCTACCTCCCTGATTGCTTGACATTATTTATGTCTGATTTCCAAATAGTGCTTGTTGGTTGTGATAAGATAGTTTAAATGAGATTTTCTGCCCAACTGCAATCTGGCTGACCTTTCTACAGTTTGCCTTCTCCAGATCCCAGGAAATGTTTGAAGGGAAATTTACAATTAAGTTGATTTCTTTTAAAGGTTGAAACCTTGATTTTAGTTCCAGATCCTTGCCGTTTTATTTCGGCTTTGAAAAATTTCCAGATTTTCCATTTTATGAATACACCACTGTCAAAACTACACAAAGAATCTAGAAGTCGGTGTTAGAATTAGTCTATATAACAACTAATGGAAATATTATGTGATGTTCACACTAAGGTACCTACAAAGATGAGTGAAGACAACGCCCTGAACAGGGATTTTTTTCCCCCATCTTCTCTGTAATTTAAGGTTGCATGGTTAAATACTAAACAACTCACAGCTGCAAAAAGGAAGTTGAAGACAGTCTGTAATTTTGCATCAAACACAATTCCAAAAAGGTTTGTGATTTTCGATAACAGCATTGTTACTCTGATTCTTTCCTTCCATAGTGCTCTCCCTTTAACACAAATCATAAAGGAGTCTATGTTTTGAAGTATCAGAACCTCCAATGCAAGAACCGAAGAATAATTGTTAATTTGTCCACAGGCCTGCAATTTTGCCATTTTAGATGTCTAAGACATTATCACCCAATGCTTCAGTGACAGTCTTAAGCCGAGGTAAAAAGGAGATATTTTTGGTGGTCATTTGCTATCAGTAAATGCGGTCATATAATCATAAAATTATGTGGGCAGAGAGGTGGCCTGAAATGTATTAGGTCACAAAATAACTTGGCATTTAAAAAATACCCAAACAGGCTGGGTGCGGTGACTGACGCCTGTAATCCCAGCACTTTGGGAGGTGGAGGTGAGGCGGCAGAATCACTGTCAGGTGTGTCTGCGTGAAGAGCCCACCAGACTGGCTTTGTGTGGGCAACAAGGCTGTTTATTTCACCTGGGTGCAGGCGGCCTGAGTCCAAACAGAGAGTCAGCGAAGGGAGATAGGGGTGGGGCCGTTTTATAGGATTTGGGTAGGTAAAGGAAAATTACAGTCAAAGGGGGTTGTTCTCTGGTGGGCAGGGGCAGGGGTCACAAGGTACTCACTGGGGGAGCTTCTGAGCCAGGAGAAGGAATTTCACAAGGTAGTGTCATCAGTTAAGGCAGGAACCGGCCATTTTCACTTGTTTTGTGATTCTTCACTTGCTTCAGGCCATCTGGATGTTTATGCAGGCTTGGGCTCCGAGGCCTGACAATCACTTCAGGTCAGGAGTTTGAAACCAACCTGGCCAAACATGGTGAAACCTCGTCTCTACTAAAAATACAAAAATTAGCCAGGCGTAGTGGTGCATGCCTGTAATCCCAGCTACTCAGGAGGCTGAGGGAGGAGAATTGCTTGAACCCGGGAGGCAGAGGTTGCAGTGAGCAGAGATCACACCAATGCACTCCAGCCTGGGTGACAGGCTGAGACTCCATTTCAAAAAAATAAAAATAAAAATAACCCCAAATGAAGCAAATTTTATGACCTAGAGTTTCTCATGGAAAGGACGCCAACAGTTAAAGAGGTT